CAAGAACCATACATTAAGACATTCTTAATGGAACCAAAAGTAGTTCTTCGGCTGTAGCAAACCTGGTTTCCGGAGGTCGACCACCCTGCAGAGTTCAGCTACAACCCAAATCCAACACAGTTGCTCCAGGTAATGATGGCCTTCAGGTGTGTTGGATCTAAACCCTCCAGGTTGGTAGATCTCCACTTGCACTTTTCCGGTTCCTTCAAGAACATCAATTCAGAGGTTCTTCTTCAAACCAAATATGGTTCTTCTACAACACAGGTGCCATAGCAAACCTGGTTTCTGGAGATCTGCCCCCCTGCAGAGTTCAGCTACAACCCAAATACAAAACACTTGTTCCAGGTGATGAGGACCTTCAGGTGTGTTGGATCTAAACTCTCCAGGGTGGTAGGTCTCCGCTTGTACTTGCTCTTTTGCAGTTCCTTTAAGTACCATCCATTGAGACGTTCTTCATGGAACCAAAAGTGGTTCTTCGGCAGGGTTGCCGCAGCAAACCTGGTTTCTGGAGATTGACCACCCTGCAGAGTTCAGCTACAACCCAAATCTAAAACACGCGTTACTTGTTTCAGGTAATGAGGACCTTAAGGTGTGTTGGATCAGAACTCTCCAGGGTGGTAGATCTCTGCTTGTACTTGCTCTTTTGCAGTTCCTTTAAGAACCATCCACTGAGATGTTCTTCATGGAACCAAAAATGGTTCTTCTATGGCAGGGGTGGTTTCTGGAGATGTACCACCCTGCAGAGTTCAGCTAGAACCCAAATTTAACACACTTGTTCAAGGTAATGATGGCCTTCATGTGTGTTGGATCAAATCTCTCCAGGGTGGTAGGTCTCCGCTTGTACTCGCTCTTTTGCAGTTCCTTCAAGATCCATCCATTGAGAGGTTCTTCATGGAACCAAAAGTGGTAGCAAACCTGGTTTCTGGAGATCTGCCACCCTCCTACAACCTGAATTTAACACACTTGTTCCTGGTAACAAAGGCTTTCAGGTGCACTGGACTTTCCAGGGTGGTAGACCTCCAGGACCAGGACTGGGCGTTCAAATAGCACCTTTATTTGTAAGAGTGTGCTTCCTGGCTTGTGTGACTTGTGTTCCCGACTTGTGTTACCAATGCTTGCTAAGATCGTGAACTTTACAACGTATAAACGGAAGTACGTCATCACGATAAGTTTCTCCTGTTGATTCTGAGCTAGACCCGAAGCCCTGACCCGTTCTAATTAAGTCTCTCCAGAGTTTTTTTTTTTCGCTCCCTCCCCGTTTTGGCACCCTGAGTAAAATTACGAAAGGGAGGCAGAACGTTCCCTAAGCTGAAAGAACCATCCAGAAAAGTTGGTTGTTTGAGACACAGCAGACACGTTGAGGCAGATTCTGCTTCCATTACTGAGTGTACTTCATTGTTGACGTGTTAAGGATTGGTGTGATTTTATGAGATTCGGTGATGACTTCCTGAAGTTTAGCTTGCATGCTCAGTGTTGGAAGAACATAGCCTAGAAGGAGAGTCGAGAAACGGTTCTATTCACGCTAATACTGATGCAAAAATACGAAAAACAAGTAAGACAAGGTCAAGAGTCCCGTTCTAGCTCTGCTTCTGCCTGCCTCACAGCAAATAAGAACTAACTGCTCTGTGATATGAAATGAGTAATAGTCCTATTCTACTGACCTATCTGAATACCGACAGGAAAAACAGGCATGCTTAGTGTATTATTCAGTCAATCCGAAATCCGGTTCTCATGCAAATGCCCCATACATTTACAAATCTCTCTAACACTGTATTATGTGGCACCCTTTATGCATTATAAAATAAACTAATCGAACTGAAACACAGCTATATGAATCGATGTAATCAACCCAGCAATCCCAATGAAAGAAAACAAACTGGCAGAATATGTTTTAGTGGGAATTTCCACATTTTGGGAAGGGCTGGGGTTGAGGAGGAAGGATAGACCTGGGCTATGAAGGGAATAACTCTTTTTTTTTGGACAGTAAAACCAGTTTTTAGCCTTGCATATCCACACGTATTACAGAACAAAAAAATACAAGGGAGGAATCAGTTAACATTGACCTTCAATATAAGTAATACACTCCTGAAAGTGGTTTTTCTCTGAAGCTTCATGCTTTTAGGCACTTTCTACAATAATACTGATATTAAATCTCTGCGATAACAAAGACAAATGAAAGTGTAAAATCATAGGAACACCGGAAAAAAGAAGAACCGGGCTGAGATGGGAAGATAGATACAAGCCATAAGACAGAACCCCGCAAATGAGCACCATACTTTCTGCTTAAAACAGACTGAATGCAGCTGCTGGTGTGTGTGAGTGTGTAAAAATCATCCCTTCTAAGGTGAACGCTTAAGTCTTCTTGTCCAACGTGCTTCAGAAATCCAAGAACGGTAACTCAAAGCCCTTGCATGTAACTCGGTTTTGCTAACATAAACACAAATAAGTAAAGAAAGAAATCTCATCAAACTCATCATGATGAACAGGTTCGGTATTAGAAACACAGAGTTTATGTTGTAGGTCTTGAGTGAACGGATGGCAGTCTTGATCAGCTGAATCGCAATCAATTTCACATTCACACTCTAAGCACCCTGTACAGCAATGTGATTACTGATCGAGTCAAATTAATGCAATAGTATTAGCGTATTAGCGTCATGAAGGCACGCTGCCGATCCAACCTGCCATGTTGTATGAGAGTTTTGGAAGTTTCTCTCTTCGCGCATCCCAAGAGCCGCTGATGCACCTCAGCTGAGCCGGTGCAAACCGATCTGACGAGGCCTAGTCTTAGATAACACTCTAATAGTCTTAGAAAACATTACGTGATCTTACGCAAGACGTAATATGCATGGTTCTCGGTCGTTGCGTGTGATGATACGCTGCTTTTTACTACTCTCATATCTCAGTACGACGACTGCAGCCCTGGTAAAATCGATTAGAAGCAGCACAGGCTTTAGCGACCCCATAAACATCATCTGTTTCCCCAGCGTAGAGGGAGATTCCCTGTTCGAGACTGCCATTTACACATTTTTCATGCATTAATAGATCGGTCCTCATTTCAAACATGAAATCATCCTTCATTCACAGTATGACACATCATTTTAGAGCAGCTTCAGTCCACCTCTGTCCATTTCCATTTCTGGGCTCAAACGTGTGATAACTGCTGATTAATGACTGGAGAGAACTAGAACTGTGTTGATATTCCTCTGTGCATTGTGGAGACCTCTACTGTATGCCTGCGTGGGGGATGGAATGAACTGAAGTAATTTAGTACTATTTTCTTCTACACTGCGATCTTCTGTTCCTTGAACGATAACTTAGTAATCTCAATAGAATTATTCAGGTAACTTGGCACCATTGGCAACATAAAAGAAAAAAAAAGGAAATGAAATACCCTTAAGCCCCAAAAAAGGAAAATTAAATACAAAGAGGTCGTATCTGATAAGGTTATTTGGGTCTCCCCTAACTCTATATGTTTTATCATGATTCTGCAACGATGTCATGCTTTAGTAAATGCTCTTCATAAGAACATTTTAAATAAAAGACTCTTATAGTGAAATTGTTTGAATCATTTTACAGACCATAGCCACTACAATTGTTTTTTTCTTTATATTATGTTCTGTGTCATTGTCTTAAAGTTTCATGCACATGGCTCCTTCTTTGCACCAGGTATTTACATTATGTACAAACAATACAACCATACATCTTGGGCGTTCAAACAAAACTATACAATATATTTTTGTTATTTTTTTGTCTCTTATCGTGTTATTATCCCTTTTATGAATAAAATAATATATATTCTTAAATACAATCCTCTTCGGATAAAGGTTCTGGCTCTCCGTGTACCTTCTCGTGTCTTCGTTATGTACAGAGACCGCGCAATAGTCAAAAATATGGATTTCACTTGGAGTTTGTGTATAGGGCCCCTTCAAAAAGTCTCTAAGAAGTCAAGGCAATGCTATGTGAACCTCCGCTGAAGCTTCTGGCAGCTTTCTGGAGTCTCAAAATGAACAAAGAGCAACAATGAAAACCACTAAAAACCATGTCACAGCGCACACACACACACATACACACAGCAAAAAAGTTCCGTAAACCTAGCAAAAATATTGTTTCTGTGGCACAATGTTTAAGACAACTATATAAAAAAAGAAAAAAATGAATTCAATAAAAAAGATATAAATCAAAATATATGCAAAAGGAGAGGAAAATGAGGTAAGGCAAGAAAAAAGGAATAATGACCTGTACAGACAGGACAGAGGGAGGATTCTGGGGTTGTTGGAAGGATGTTGGGAATGGATGCCAACGCCACAATACACTAAATATGAAGGGAAGGAGAACCAAATGAAAAACACAAAACAGTTCCATCAGCATGCAGGAGCATTTGGCTCAAACACATGCACTGTTTCCAGATTAAATTCAGCAAAAACACGGGACTCACAAAGTCAGGCCAGCGAAAGGTGACGTTAAGAAAAAGGACTCGTTTAGAAAGTCAAAAAACAGTGCACACAAAACAGGTACCCTATAGAGATTTGGCTGTGTCCCAAATCCAAAGCGTCACTAGTTCCCTTTCTCCAAAAACACAAAAAGTAAGACACTGATATTTCATAATCTTTGCCTAGACCCCACCTACATTCATATGAAGCCCATCCCTTTTTTTTTCTCTGGATGAAAGGATGGCTTAGTCAGAAATGAAGAGTTGTGGAGATGGTACATTGAGCTGACTGAAAACTCTGCATGCATATGGTCAGTGAGATGAGGTCATTTTTTTGGTTTGCTTTTGTCATTTTTGTTCTTTTTTTTGTTCAAACTGATGTTTTTTTTTCCTTCCGAGATATAAAAACGTAATAATCATAAGTAGGTTCCGGCATGATTACGTTAATGCAAATGTCACGTGTTTCTTGATCCTCTCAACTCCTTTACAAGCGCCGTCAGGGTAAAAAGCCTTCAGCTCCATGGCAATCGCTCCTTAATATTTTTTTTTTTTGAAAAAAGAAAAAAAAAATCTATGAAGAGTGCAAAAATGGCATGAAGATAATGTCATATTTCCCCGATATAGTCTTCATTTAAGCAGAATTCTCCACTTTCCCCAATGGAGAGGAAAAATACACAATGCTGTGGCAGTACCAGAATCAATAGTATCAGTTGAACTACTGTCAGTAACGTAACCGTCATGTTCTACCGTCTTCTGGGATCCATTGTTTTTTTTTTGTTTTTTTTTCCCGTTGTATAGTTTTTGCCTTTTTGTAAATTGTTCGTCTCTTGTAAAAACAGAAAGGGGAAAGGGAAACAGTCTGGACGTGGACGTTACATTGCGACGGGGCTCTTTGGCGAGCTCTCATGTTCCTTGGCCTTTTTCAATTCTCTCGCCCTGGAAGAAACAAAAGACGAAAAACAGGGGTTGTAGGGTTAGACTGTGTTTCGAACCACCCTTCATAAGCACTCTTTTTCTTCGGAGAGTTATCACCAGGAGACACACTTGCCACACTTGAAAATATTACAATATATGTAGTATATTTTGAATATATTAACAACATAACAAATATATTCCAATATTCCATTTTCTAAAGGGCAGCTTCTATCCTGAGTGTACATGAAGTTATTTCAGCAACCGAGAAATGGCTTTAACCCCAGCACTAAAAGGAAGAGTGGAATTTGGTGGAATACTTAGGGTCCCTAGATGATCTAATAATTAATGAATACTGACAAACTAATTCATTTTTATGTTCACTTGACATATATGTTTTCAAATACTTTCAATGAAGGGGGCCCATCTGTGACCATTTGGATCACATTGGACCAATTGGACCAGAAATTTGTGAGATCTTCAGTGAAAAGCAGTGTTTCTTCAGCCCTGAAGGCCTCTTACACTGCACATGCTGCTATTCCCCTACTAATATTGTTTAGAAAGTTACATGCACTGCCAGACCTCAGAACTGATACTGGTGAAAAACACTGATATTACAAGAGTAAATGGAGGTGCAACATAGCAGTGTACACTGTTAGTCATATTCTTTTCCTCAGTCTAATTGAGGTTGACCCTACACCCCCAGTCAGGTTAGATACATTTGGAAAATCACATCAGAGTTTTATTTATGGCTGACAAAACAATACAAGCAAAATTCCTTAATATAATAAAGAAACACAAATATCTTTTTAAATGACAACTAAAATAAGAGTTTCACTTTTAGTGTTGTTAGTAACTTGTTTCAAGGAGAAAATACAACACATGCACAAAACATCACTGAGGTTGCAAACAGTGTTTTATACAGTACAGAAGAAACCAAAATGTTATTCAGCATAAATAGAGTAATGTCATTTCTACATTACTGCAAACATATTCAGTTGGAGCTGAGAGTCCTTAAAACCAGAAATATTGCTTAAATAAGCAGTCCCCCAACCCCTCAATCAAGCTGTTTAACCAAAGGCAAATAGGATATATGAAACAGGCAGCCAGGCATTCAAGAGATAAACCCTTCCTTAAAGGAAGTGATAGAATTTAGAGCATGCCCTGAAAGAAGCAAGGCCATCTGATCTTTGGCCATCATGCAATGCCATCCACACTATTCAGCAGTCCAGCAGTCCTTAGTGCTCTCAAAAGCATCCTCATAACAAGAGAGATGGAGGAAACATTGAGGAGGAGAAACGAATCAAGAGAGGGTGATTTGGTTAGTGTTGTCATAAATGAGTCGCTATAGTTAGCTAGGCCTTTTGTCCCCTCTCTCTCATTCAGAGGCTCAATCCACTGGAGGCTCCAGTTGGCCGTCATGCAAGCAGGCATAAAGCAAGAGATAGAGAGATGGAGAGAGAAGAAAGACAGCAGAAGAAAGAGAGAGGGACATGAAGAGAGTCGCTGACCGCAGAGAGAGAGAGAGAGAGAGGGTCAGGTAGAGAGAGCAGGATAGAGGGTAGAGAGGCATAAAGGGTAAGGTAAAACAGTAAGTCAGAGGGGTACAAACTGAGTTGCTGAGGCTGCACTCACCCGTTTGAACAGTCTATGGTCCATCAAGGGGCTTTGCGTAAACAGCAAAACAACACCAGATAGCTATTAGCACATACTGAGGTTCAGGCGGGTTTGGGAAAGGAGAGGGCCCAACTTAAAACGCGGTTTAATAGATTCAGAAGTGAGTGATTGGCTTTGTCTTTTGGACTACGTAGTCCTGACCATAAGAATGTTTTAAGGTATTTGTTAGGCTTTGTTCACACAGCAGGGAAAAGTGGCCCAAATTCGATCTTTTTCCTCACATGTGACACAGATGTGTGTCTGTGTGTCAGTGTGAACAGATAAACACACCGAATCTGACATTTTCAATTCCAATTTGAGACTCTTTCGTATGTGGAACTGAAATCCGATCCATATCCGATATACAGTGATGCGACTCAGTCTGAACAGCCAGATCGGAATTCATGCATCTTTTATGTCAATTCAACTCCACATCTGTCAAAATGTCGCACTGCTGAGACCTAATAAACATTTAGGCTGATGTTTCTGTACCAAAAAGGAGAAAGTTTTGAAATGAGATTCTGAAAGAAGAGGCTGAATGTGGCCGTAGGAGAACGAGGCTGCAGCGTCAATCCGAGGACACAAACCAAAAAAGTGACCGCGCCCTTTTTACGGCGAGCTTGAACACATTCTGGGTGGTGAGCCCAGCTGTCAGTCAGTGAAGCTTCATGATGGCTCCTGGGATGCTGGTGAAAATGAAGCTGAACCTCCGGGAGTGACTGGCGTTCATTGGCAGTCATGATTGTTTACCTCTGGATGAGCCGTGTGAAGCAACGTGAAGCATTGTTCTTTTGTGCATGTGGGTCAGTTTAGGAGCTGATTTGTTCAGACTGATGTCACATACAGATCACATTTAAAAGATAATGTGAACAGCCAAACAAAAAATCGGATTTGGTGAGAAAATCAGACTTGGGCCACTTTTACCTGCTGTGTGAATGTAGCCTTAGAGATGGTGCAACACTATTACATACTACATCTCTTCTAATATCAATGCCGAAACCTTAAGCATCAACTAAAACTGAATCCAATACATTATTCTTGAACAACTACTGAGCTTTAAATTAGCTCATTTTAATTGAGCACTTATATCTTTCTAAAACTGCTCTACAAAACATTTAATGTACTTTTATTATGTGACCAACTTTATTTCACTATGCTACAAGCATTTCTGTGATATTTCTAGATTTGTTACAGAATCAGACTGGATTTCTTTTTTTTCTTCAGTAATTTTCCGCTGGTATCGGCCTGATACCGATACTGGACGCTACCTTCTACCGATACCATTTTTAGAGTTTGTTAAAGGACTTCTGAAATGAATCTTCTATTTGCTCTTGATTGTCAAGGTACTATATTTTAGGGTATAATGCTGTATAATCCTGTTTCTGTGTCTTCATAATTAGTACTAAGTTGAAAAGTAGACAGTTAAGAGAGAGCGGCTGTGAGTTTATGTGGTTGGAGTTGAGAGTGACTGCGCCATGAGAGTGATTCATGCTATAACTTACCTGTGGCGACATCGGAGCAGAAACCGCATTATTTTTCTGGCAGCCTGGTCTTGCCTCTTGGTCAGTAGACCACTTCTGAAAAAGAGTGATGAGCAGGAATGGTACAGCTTTGTAAAAGTAATAAAACTCTCAAAACTCTGCAAGACTTTTTAATTAATGTGCTGTAGTGTTTTTCATTCTTTGGGCAATTTAAAATTCAGCATGTTTTGTTTGGTGTACATAGTGCTCTTGTGGTTGTACCTGAGTTTGTGCTGCACTAAGGCTGCAGCTGCAGCAGCATGAGAGTGCGAGTGTGCGTTGGGCCGGCCTAGTTCCTTGTAGCTGCGATAGTACTGCTGGATCAGCATGGCTGCCCGGCGACTCTGCTGGAACTTTTTCTGCTCGTGGTAGCTGCGGAATTTACTCTGGATAAGGATGGCGGCCAGCGTCATCTTCTTATAAAGTGCATACTGCCAAAGGAAGACGTAAACAGATGAACAGCGAAAGACTTGTGCCAGTTTGGCAACAAATCCTAATCTTTTCCTGTAGTGCTGGGCAATATGTCAGCTTTACTGGAATATCAATGTTTGTGCCACACAGCGGTACTGATTTTGTGTTTTGGCAGCACTGACTGACAGCACAATTTACAGATAGTCAACTGCAATATACGCTATGTGACCAACAGTATGGGGCCTCATCTTTTAAATAGTGGGTTTAGCTGTTTCTGCCACACCCATTGCTAACAGGTCAAGCTTACAGCCATGCAGTCTCCATAGACAATGGCACTAGAATGGGCCACACTGACTTTCAATGTGGTAAAGTCAGAGGATGCCACCTTTCCAACAAGTCAGTCCATCCTGGAAACATCCCCCATAAACAGTAAGTTCTGTTACTGTGAAGTGGAAATGTTTAGGAGCAGTGAAGTGGTAGGCCAAACGAGCTCAAAGAACAAGACCGGCAAGTGCTGAAGAATTAGCACTTAAGAGCACGTAATAAGTCACTGGTTGCAACAGTCACTACCGATTGAATGACACTTCTCCATCTGGCAGTCTAATGGACAAATCTGGTTTTGGCAGATGCCACAAAAACATTACCCGTCTTAATGCATAATGCCAACTGTAAAGTTTGGAGGAGGTGGAATAATGGTCTGTGACTGTTTTACAATTTTATTGCTACTGCCTACAATGACAGTGGGTGGAAAGTTCTTTCAAGCACTGTTCAGCATGTCAATGCCCCTGTGCACAAACTGAGGTGCATAAAGAAATAGTTGGCTGAGTCTGGTGTGTAAGAACTTCAGTGGCCTGCGTAGAGCCACGATCTCAACCCAGTTGAGAACCTTTGAGATCAACCTGAATGCTGACTGTGAGCCAGGTCTTATCGTCCTACATCAGCGCCTGACCTCAGTAATGCTGTCGAGGCTAAATGGAAACAAATCCTGACAGCTGACGTTCCAAATCTAGTGGAAAGTCTTCTCAGACGAGTGGAGGCTGGTAAATCAGCAAAGAGGGAACCAAGGCCATATTAATGACCACAGTTTTGGAATCAGATGTTCTACAAGCACATATGAAGGTGATGTTTGGATGTCCGCATTATTTTGGACATGTAATCTGAGGGGTGCTTCAGATTGTTTTCAAAGAAAAAAATCTAACAAAACATGCTTCTGGAAATTTTGTTTTTGTCTGGTTAATGTTCACATAATTTGTAAGATTACCTTTGGTATAATTTTAAAATAAGAAAAATAGAACAAAATAATAAAATCAAAAATAGCTATGCCCAGTTTTGTGGCATTGATTACCAGTAATCAGGCAGCATGGATTTATGAACTTTATTAATTTACTAAATACCATCTGATACCATGCTAGTGTAATATTTGGAAAAGGTGATACCGAATTTTGTTGATAATGCCCAGTACTACTTTCCTGTATGTATGAATGTCAAGCAACTTTACTTCAGAAGAAAAAAAACTGAGAACATAATATTATAACAGTCCTGATAAAAATGGCCATATTACCTTCAAGGCTATCCATGTCAGCTTGTGAAAGAAAGAGGAAGGACATGAAGGCATGTCAAACATCATCGTACTGCTGACAAGAGCAGAGGGGTCTGCAAAAGTTCCTGGGCTTTGAGCTTACCTGTTTGTACTTTTTATAACAGCGCTGAATAACAGCAGCTGCCAGCTCCTGCTGCTCTCTGAGTGGACGCCCCTGCAGGTGGGAGGGAAAGGGGGATGTTGAGGAAGGAGGAAGGAGAGGAGGAAAAGAGAGGACAAGAGAGGAGAGGAAAGAGACGTTAGTATTCACAGGGAAGCTGCAAATGCATGACCACGGAGATGGCATTTGATCCCTTTTTGTGGCTGGCCAAGAAGTCCTCTTACATTGGTCGAGTTCCTGAAAGTGCTTTTTTGAGGGGGGGGAGAGATCCAGACCAAAGTGACATCCTCTGGAGCAGGGAAGGGATTAATCCTTACAAACTGGCAAGCAGTGTATCATTGGAGATATTCTGTTCAAACAATCAATGTGGTATTGACTTGGGAATTGGGGCGCATCCCTTCAGACATAAATAGAGAGCGATGCAGTCATTCCCTATAGGCAGGCCATGCTTAGCTCAAGCAATCTCCCCATGCTTAACTGCAACACTGATGCTATGTCTGCCTCTTAAGCTCACACCCCAACAGCAACCATCCATTCAGTCACCTTTGAAACCCAGGATCTGAGACATCTGCTGTTTGGTTTACCTTACAACACCACACAGAACAGTACAGCACAACCTTTTGAAACCAGGCCACGATGAACACTGGCAAAACACCAAAAGGGACACCACGACAGCCTACATGAGCAGTGATATCGGGATGCCCCTGAGCCTGGACGAAGCCCTATCCTACCTTATACTTGCGGAAGGTGCTTTGGACCTGGCGCGCTGCCTCGTAAAGTTCTCTCTGCTCGTGGTCAGAAAGGGCCAGCTGGGTGAGGTCCCGCTCCTCTTTGCTGTGGGACGCGTTGAGAAATGCGCTCCAGTCTGCCGGAGAAGGAAGGCCCAGTTTCCCAAGAGGGCTCTCGGGTTCTGGCTTGGCGCCAGAATGGCCGCCACCCAAGCCAGCGGAGGAAGCCAGGGGCTTGTTGTACAGGAACCTAGACAAATCAACCATGTTAAAACATGGTGCTCAAATTAAAATGACAATCTATGCTGTGTAACAGTGTTACTGGTAGGACAGACCTTCCATAAACACTGAGTTGTCAGCTTATTAGTTACGCTTAACATATAGGAGCACTGAATGAGGCTCACTGACTGATACACTACTTTTTCCCTGTCTTTCAATGGAAAGGAAACATCACAGGGCCTCTGCTGGTCAGATATCACTGGGGTAAAACTTGACCTAATAAACTGGCAACTCAGAGTGAAAGATAATGACCACAACAGGTCATTATCAATTCATCAATGCACAAACTAAAATCAAGTCAAACAGTACCTTTCTGCATCTCCAAGGTAAGTGGCCAACCAGCTCATGGTGCTGTTGACTGCAACATTGTCCAGAGGTGTTGGCTCTGTGGCAACAAAGGTTTCGCTCTTGATGCGATCAGGTGTTGCTTCGATGATGTGCTCTGCAAGAGTCATCATGTTCATCTGCAACACGAAGAAGCACAACTCTTTATTTTGGGAAGTTGGTAACTTCTGTTTGTGCATCTTTTGTCTCACAGTCATTATAGTTTGTATAAAAGTCTTTGCAAAAACAAACTAATAAATAATTAACTTTACAATTAATGTTCCAGCATGCAGGGACCATTTCTGTTCACTCTAGTATGGTTAAAATAGTTTTGCTGACTGTGGACCAAAATGCTGTTCAGATAGTGGAGGAAAATAGAGTTGCAGTTCTCCGTTATTATAAGGTTACTTGCTAACAGTGACCTATTGAATGACCTTAATGTAATTCATTATTGTGATTAATGACATTCATACACATATTCATATACATAATTCTGACCACATTGCTAGTAGGGCTGCTCCATGTGTTAAATTACTAGTAGTGTCATTACAACATAGCATACTTTGACTGCGAGACGCTTTGCAATACATTAAAAATGCACTGACCAATCAATGTCACATTGTTAAAGAACATAACACCCGCAGAAAAATTCATCTTGAACTGTGACTGATGCTCATTGCACACAATAAAAAACATGCGATTGGTTAGAAGGTTCATTTGCATATTACATCCTTCTGCTACATCAGTATTGCAAAAGCTAAAACTGTGATAACAATTAACAAACCATATATTACACAGTGCTCGTTGCTAGGCGCTGCAGATTCTGTCCACAAATGGACGAAAGCTCAACGATTTATGCCGTCGCTGATAAGCGTTTAATTTACATTGCACTGGAGTGGCTGCAGTGGATCTGAACACGTTACATAACGAATTGAGTTTGATAAGGCTGTTTTGCCTGTGGGTCTGCAGTCAGAGATGACCTTTTGCGTCTATTCTTTCAGCCTCACCTGTAAGTCCCCTGTGTTCTCCAGATCTTCTTGGCTTGCTAGCAGCTCGGAGACTGTCCCTGTGCCAGACGCTTCTCTTAACCTCAGCCTGCTTGCCAGCCTTTCTTTAGCAAGCCCTCCAAACTGGCCTCTGCGTCCCACAGCCTGTCTGGCACTCCACCGCCCACCTCCTCCGCAGACTGAGCCTAGCTTTGTCTGAGACTGTTCGCCCTTCCCAGCCTCCTTCTCCACGGTTCCTTCCCTGAGAGCTTTGGGAGGGCATGCTTTAGTTTTGTGAGCGTGCTCTTCAAGCCGTAAAGGAGCAGAGCTCGGCTTGCCTGGCCTTGCTTGGTGGCTCTCAGGATTAGGCTTGTGTTTCTTAGTTAACGGTGCATCACCTTGGCCTTCACTGTTGTAGAAGCTGGAGGGTTCAGACCTGGGTCTCCTTAAGTCTGTAGAGATGAAAAACAACAAAGATGCCTCAGCGAAAACAGTGAAAGGCAAAACCACTAGAAATACAGCTACCAAATTTGAGATCTCACTGTGCACTGAATCGTTTCTTAAAGCTACACTATATAAGATTCGGGGATTTGGAGACCTCTCTGGTGGAAAAGTGTAATTACACACAACGTGCAGTAGAACATTTTGTAATGTTGCTAGTGCTTTGGACACCCTGAGCAGACGAATCTGATGATTATGAGTGAGTTGAAAGAGAACTCAGTCAAAATTTGGTGAACATCTTGTCTTCTGAGGATGCAAGTGAATCATCCATTGTCACCGTATCTTCATCAGTATAATTCATCAGTAAAACATTAAGCCAGACCTCCTTTCTGAGCCTGTGTACATGACGATAATACGTATCATATCATATCTAACACATATGACGTGGTCTGAAAAACTCCAGATAAATCCCACCTGACAGGTCTGACTTTTAAATTATTATTAAATTATTATTTGAAAGTCATCATATTTTAGCATGTTTTTTTCTTCCTGACTCAGTAAAGCTACTTCACTGAATTTTAACCAACAGAATTGTCTGTAGTGCAGCTTTAAAGAATCATAATCAGAGATTTCCACCCCTAATCTTGAGACCTTTAGTGCATCACTAATGTGCATGCAGGTTAAGTGTCACTGCTAACCTGTGTTTGAGGTTGTAGCAGAGCTACTGATGCTGCTTCCTCTGAGTCCAACAGAAGCGCTCTCACTGCCCCAAACGTCCATCCAGCCCTCTGTGGCTGATCCCTCAGCAGATGGGGAGAAAGGCATGCTGGGAGTTGTAGTCAGTGTACCCTGGCTGCTGCTGCTGCTGCTCCTCCCTCTGAAGATTTTCCAGACACTCTGCCAGCTTAGTGTGGCCACGAGAACGGGCTGTGGCCAGCGGTAAGCGGCCGAGAGAGTCGGGGATGGCCAGGGCACGTCTATCCCACTTATATAAAACCACTGCTGCTTCCATGTGACCCAGAGCACAAGCCCACATCTAAGAGAAGACATCAGAGACAAGTTAGAACATCAGTTGCAGTATTTAGCTTGAGTATCTATCAAAGCATCCTCTCTCAAAGCTCACCAAGGGTGTGCAAGAAAAGTGATCCACATTCAGGGGATCCACCTCCAACTCCAGGTCAATGCTGTCTGCGTGCTTAGTGCTGTGGAGGAAATGAGCGAAGAATTAGCACAGATTCAGTATCGTCACGCACTGTTTTTGCCACATCACTCACCCCTAATGTGCGTTCATTAAACTCAACACTCACCGCCACTTGATGAGAGTTTGGATGAGGGTTGCGTAGCCCTGGGCTGCAGCCAGGTGGAGCAGAGTCATCCCCCGGAAGGTCTTGGAGTGAATTAGGTGTTTAGACTTGGCCCAGCAAGCTCGGTTCATCATCTTCTCACAGACCACCACCACACGACTCTCAAAGGAGCTTCCTGCCTGGCCCTGACCAGGAGAGAACTGAGGGGACACAGGACCAGAGGTACATGTACACTATTGTTCCAAAGTTTAGAAAGACTGTTTTTCAATAATAATAATAAAAAAACACTTTTGTTGCAAATACAGTCATATGCAAAAGTTTGGGCACCCCTGGTTGAACTCCATGTTTTATTGACAGAAAGTGAAGATCAATACATCATCTGGGGAGTATTTTAATGCACACTGTTTATTTTCTGGTTTTAACATATTTTTTTTTCCCAATATTTTAAACTTAGCAAATAAATAGAAATTGTACTCTAAAATCAGCACATAAATGCCATATTTAAATTAGTAGAGGATGCACCAACTTATTTTTGCACACCTGTATGTGTATAAAATGTTTCTATAGGTAATTTGACAAACAACTTTATAATTTACCATGAATAGATAATTACAGCATATTATTTATTGTTTAATAACTTCTTATTGTTCCCAAAATACTCCAAATAGAGAATGAAACATCTAAAAATGCTGTATGGTCTTCAATTATTAATATTACAGTCTACACTCATTGTATAATTGCAATGCATTATTTTTGAGTTATATAACTACAAAAAATAACACAAAAAAATTGATTTCAAACTTTTAAACAGTAGCACAGTTACATAATTTACATACTTTCGTTCAACACAAGAACATTATTTATACTGAAAACAAGGCATTTTAGCTATAATAATAAAGACATCAAATATCATCACATATTGACAAATAAGTGATGACCCAGGTTGATAAACACCTGCGCCTGGTCAGCACTGCCTCTTCCCTCTCCTCCACTTCCTCCTCCTGCTACTCCACTTTCAGATGATCCTCCGCTGCCTTGCTGCTGCTGGCCAGCCATCTCCGCCATCCTGCGCTCCATCTGCTCCAGGCGCTCCAGGATGGACATTCTGAACTGGTTATCTGTGGCATGGACAGCAGAGGAGTCTGTTAGTGTCCGCACTCGCCTCACGGTTGCCCTCTACGACCACCTGTGTGAAGCTCAGTAAAACTGAACCATCAATAGTCCATGGCTGCATTCCAACTGGAGCCTAATCAAATGACTTACAGATAACATTAATTAACATTAATTAATTACAGATGACAAAAGATCTTCAAAACTTGAAAGGCTTGCTTTGCAAATTTTCTAAAGGTCTGTTGGTCAGGAAATGTTGACGCAATGTAAAGATCAGCAAGTGTTTTCAAACAGCGCAAAAAAGGAGGTTTTGAGGTTTTCTTGTGACACCAGCATCTCAAAACTCAATGCAGAACTCAGATGAAGAGCAAAGTGGTAGCACAAGACAACTGTTTAGACACAAAGACAAGCCCCTCTCAACCTTTAGAATATGGGTGATGCAGATATGTTTTGCATTTAAACGCCACTGACCAAGAAATCCATCAAGAAAACAGGTTTTAATGTGCATATGTTTATTTCTAACACATTTCTGTATGATACCGTCCCTACTGAAAGGCAGAGAGAGCATCTCTGTGCTTGCCAACAGTAGTGGCTTCAGCGCGTCTTTGTTCAAACAGTGCTGCAGTGTTGGTGCAGTGCGGATGATGTCATCTCCACCTGCTGTTGGCTCCCTCGCTCTCCCCCCTCCTTTCTCTCTCTCTCTCTCTCTGTCCACTTGGAGTGACTCAGAATGCGGTGCACGTACGCCAAAGCAGGGTTGGAGGATAGGGGGGAGGGACCAACTCACACTACAACGGCGCTGTGACATAATCAACGCTCGGCCCTCCCCTCCACTACACCTCCAGCAGCCTGGAGACAGCGAATCAGCGGCCAGCGCAAAGTGACAGAGCAAACAGGCTGCTAAACGCTCTGAGCTTTGTGTCAGGGCTCAAATCGGAGAAGGGCAACATTCAAATACAAACGAATTACAACTCTGAACTGTCCTGGGCTGAAACAGCGTGATGACTTCAATTATATAAAGTCTTGGAATGACTTAAAAGTTGCGTTTAAGTCCAGGTTTAGTAGTCTGTGCAAACAAAATGAACATTCTTTAACACAAGCTGTTACGAAGAATTCATGTTTACGAAGTGTGCTTGGCGAGCCAAATGTTTTCATCAAAACCTGCAACCTTTAAAAGAATAAACAGCTGTTGCTGACAATGAATGTCAGCCCATGGCCACCAACTGGCATCATTATGTCATTTTCATAATGCTAATTGTGAGCTATCCAATTTCATTCATTATTCATTATGAGCAACATTAGCATTACTGACTGAATCATTGTTTAATTGAATCTCTAAGTGTCCAAAAAATGCTCAGTTGGCTTTCAAAAGGCTAACAAGCTAAAACCCTCAAGGCAGAATACATGTAGAACAAGTGACCCCATAATAAACACCTGAAAGTATGCCAAAAACAAATATTGAATATGCATCTTCCTAATTTTATAAATAACTCAGTAATAGTCTAACGCAAAAACGCTGTTCACAAGTTACCGCATAACTCGGTCCGAAATTGACTGAAAACAACCAAAAAAAAGAAAAAAGAAGTTGACAGCTTGAGCCGATGTGCATTACCCTCTTTTGTTGGTGTGTTGCATCAGAGCAGAAAGTCCATTGGCCGCTGTAGTCCTGCTGGCCATGTGGATCTCATGTGGCTGGCATTAGTGTGCCGTGTGATGGAGGCGCTAAAGCCGCTGTTGCCAGGCTCTCTGTGTATTTCACTGAAATGTATCCTCCTGCAGAGCCTAGCCTAGTTTCTCTGTTTCATCACGGTATTGCATCAGGCAGGAAAGTGGGGGATCTTGCACCACTCTGTGGCCCCCAGCTCAACTGAGGCACTTTAACGAACACTTGTTGATGCTCGGCAGTGAGAGACTGCTTCTGCTGTATGGCTGCTGTTTTATTTAGTGGTGTAATCAATAGTTTTATCAGTACCACAACTGGTGTAAGGCTGTCACCATTAATTGATTGAACACAATTGCTCCATTGAATAAAATGTTCATCTTCTCAATGAATTTGTAATGATTAGTTGGCAATTTGCATGATGACAATCCTCATTTAAAATGTTCTCTCCTGCAATATGGAACAGAGTTTGATAGACACATGCATTTTTGTCAAATTTTATTCCAGTCAAGTACCTTGGAATCTCTAACAGTCTCTGCAAACTTTGTCACTGTTCAGTTTTTTACTGTTCGGGCTTTGTAAAAAGCTCAACTATTCAATTATTTGTACAAAAACTTAGTATATTTCTCACTCACTAATATGATCCATACTGGCATGCCTAGACTGGTCTGTAATCAGTATGAAGTGTAACCTAAAATGCTGACAGATGTTCTTTTCGCTCCCATTTATCCTTTGCGGATTAAACACGAAAAATGCTAAAAGATGATCTTTCTTGTGTTCATTTCCGCAACGATTTCCCACAAATCCCAAATCACATGTTTCATTCCGGACTATCCCTCTTAATGGCAACGACACTCCAAATAGCAACATAAAATTTATAAAAACATTTTCTAACTGGGTTGTACTCGTAAAAACGTAGGGATAGTGCGTTTCCTGGGGATTTGGGTTGGAGTTTGTAATGCGTAGTGATTGTGTCTCAAGAGGATTTAGCTCAGGATGGGCTGAAAGCTGGGATAACAGGTCCTAATGCTGTGGATGTTAGTGGATTACAGCCCCCGGACAGGTGCTTTTGGTCGGAGATACAGTGGGAGGTGAGACGGCTTAGTCGTAATGCCATTACCTCCGCCGATCCTAATCCCAGCGCTGATTATGTGCGTTAACTCTCCTCGTCCAACCCTATGAGAGTATGTGGTTAAGCTAAAAACGCTGGATGTAGGGCATGTGATTGCACACGGACGGATAAGAGCGGACATGTGTGTTTTCCGCCACGCTGCCCTGAACATTTTCCGTTGAAACGTGTCATAATTTCAAGAACATTTTCTTAAAATCGGAACACACAGAATGGCACGTATGACACAACACCTACAGCACTTCTGTGAGCTTATTTTTATTTTCGAGCTGCTGTTCCACTGCCCCAAAGCAGCAGTGCTACGCTTCCTCAGTTTTGAGCATCAGGCAATCAGAGTTGACTCAGAGAAACAAAGGCTCGCAGCCCAAAAAGACCTTGGACGCTGGAAACGAGCACTTTTGTTGTTTGTTTTCTTTTTTTTCCCCTTCTCTCTCTCACTTCATTTTCTCCAGGCACTGTGCATTTTGTAATGATGCTGTTCGTCATGGAGACCTTGTAGAGACAGTTTCATTTGAGGAACCAGGGAGCAATGTGATACATACATATACAAACCCAGACACAGAGCAGACTCAACAAAATTATTTATGATCAACAGAGTGTAGATCAGTTTTCTTGGCCGAGCTTGGTGTAGTTTCTGGAAGTACACTTTAGAAGGTTTTACTTAAAGAAAATGTTTAAATCCACATAAAAACTCACTTTTGTTACTTTTTATAGCGAAACAGTGCCTGAAACTAAGTTCCCTCTCCAAACACATTGCTTACTTTATAATGGCTACTGATATAGAAAGTAAAAGCAGGGACGCCGTATCTTTACAAGCATTTGGTCTGAATACATGACAAAGCAGAACAAATCATCTAGACTGCCTCCTGCATCTTTGGGATCAGTGTAAATGGTCTGTTAATGCAAAACACTACTAAAAACACAGTATTAAAATACTACAAGTCATTCAGTCTTGGTTAGGGATCAGATTAGAAGCTATCATGCCTGATCGTCATTCCTTCGCAGTTCTGGCATGAGTGTTTCTCTTCAATGTGGTTCAGTTCAGCAAAGAACTTTGAAACACATGACAGTCTGAGATTTCAAACACAAGAATCGAACGCGTCGCAGTGGGACAGAGAAGCTGAAGTCCAGGGCCGTTCTAATACAGCAGGCTAGACTGAAGCCTTAATAACAAATCCAAGCATTCCACAGGAAATCTCATCAATGTGGAACAGAGAACTTTGAACTTTCTCTGCGAGGCTCGATTACCGCGACCTAGTTTTCCTCTCAGGGAAGAATGGAGGGAACACAAAGGGGAGGCACTACAGTTTCCATTCAAACCAAAATATGTGGTTTGCTCAGCCTTACTCCGTAAGGGCGCTACAAAGAAAGTTGCCCACGAGTTGTCTTCCCTGAAAACAAACCAACGTCGACCATCGCAGTCGATTCACAATCACAGAACAGCCCCAAGTCACAAGCTGTCAACATGTGTCTACAGTGTCTGAGAACGTGAACGCATCTGGACCTGACAGCTTTAAGTGTGGACATCAGACACGCGCTCACTCCCTCAGTGTGAACATCTGTGTCACTTTTTAACCACCTCTGGTCCTGAAAACGGACAAAGCACGAGCCACATCCAAGAATGACTTGTTCATCTCACCACCCAACTGTGCCTTAATTTCATTCATAATACCGGCTGTGGATTAGCTAGAACTGACGTGTGCAACTGCAAACAAGCCTACTCTGCTCCTGTTATACTAGGAAAGTGATGCAAAACTTCTTTTCTACATTGCATTGTGCGAGTCTCGTGCGTTTCTCAGCACGAGCTCTCCCTTTAACCGGCATACGCACTCACGTGCTGGAGGAATCAGACACACAGCAGTCATAACACGAGTTTCGAGACACAATACAGGCACAAACACACATGCAAGCAAGACTTTGGTGCAACGGCTCACAAACATGCAATAAAGCTCGTGCCAAAAACAACAGCGCGCGACAAAGGCTCATTCAGAACTTCGCTTCATGCAGATTCACCGCAAATGCGCTAATAAACAATCACCAAACGCAACGCCGGCTATTCGCACAGCTGCACAGCATGCACGGGCACGAAAGCGAGGCGTTTGCACTGACCGAAAGCGCTCGTGTCGTCCCCTGTCACGCGCACATGCTCTCCTCTCCAGTGTTCTAGTGCAGAGTGAAGCGTAGCGCGCGCCTAACGGAGCCAACAACAATAGAACAAC